TTCCAGCTTGATGACAAGGGACTAAGTGCCATTGCCCCCCTCCCCCATTTAAAAGTAGGATCTTGAAAAGCTTTTGGAAGAAAAGACTATTGAAACCAGACAAACACACAATGGATCTTAGGTTGATGATATGGGTATATGCTCAGCACATTCGAGCGTAATTCACCAAGGTTGTGGGGTTTTTCTATTGGGCTTGGCTGTGTTGCAACATCAGGTGTGGCCTTCCAGCCATTTCTGAATGTTCAAGGTAGCTCCTTAAGAGTGCAGGGCAGGATATCACAAGTATCTAGAAAGCTGCACTCTCTTAATACTTGCATTTCCCTCTCAAGCTCCACCCAGCTTTAAAGTGCATTAAAAAAGTTGGTAATACAAAAAAAAAGACGGATGGACGTGTAAACTTCGTTACCACTTGTTGAATCTGCTATTTGAGGTTTGCCAAGAGACACTTTAAGAGGTGCTTCAGAGGTGCTGATGGAAGGCTTGGCTGGATTTTGAAACCAGCCAAGTCTTGAATAGAATTGAATCCAAAGCACCGTATAACCTGTTTTACAAGCCCGGCATCCCACAAGAACTAGATTAGTTATAATCTAGTTATTGACTAAATTAACAATAACTAAATCCTTCTGGAGCATTTTAAAAAACCAGGTCCGCCATAAGTGGGGTGATGCAGTTGTGTGTCAGGTAAGTTGGGAAGCGGGGGGGGGGAGAGATTGCTATTAATGCCAAAGGTATGCTTAAAAAGAAAACTGCAGAATTCAAAATTCACTAGGATGGGTAAAAGTCTTTAGAACTTCAAACTGCTTTTGAGATGACCCTCCTTCCTGACCTCATAACCTCTTAGATAAAAGTGGACAAGCAGCAGTTTGTTTTAAACCGATACAGATTTGCATCTTCTTGTAGAGGCAGTGAAAGTCAGAATGTTTTGACTTTCCATTTGATCACGGCAATTTATTTATCAAAATAAAAATCTCATTACACGTTCAAAGCTTGCATTTCCGTTGTCTCTTCGCAGTTTGCACCCATTCACCGGAAGTGTCGAAGATAAATCAACTTCTGGGAATGAAATTTCTCTCTACACAGAGGACACTCAGCCTGTGGGAAGGAAAAAAAAGGGATTAGGAAATGTAAACCCTTCAAATTGCTTTAAAAACTATCCTTGTCTTTAAGGCAGCCTCCTTGCCTAAAATAATTCCCCTTTTTTGACACGATTGAACGTATAAACCAAAGTAGCTCTCAAGTTTCAAGCATTATAAATTATAAAACTGGTCTTGCAGCCAATTAGTCTGCTCAGAACTACAGATAAACTTTGCAACTTGGAGCTGTAGGTATGGGAGGATCAAAACTGCATGTAAAAAAAATATCACCTATTAATTTTTTTCCCCTGTAGCGAAGACTTTTGATCCTAGAGAATTTCTAACCTCCAAGGAAAAAGCAGAACCTCAACGCCGGTGTATACATGGCTGTAGACATTTACAACAGGAAGAAAAAGCCGCGTGCTTTGGGGCAAAGTTTCAGGGAGGCAACACACACCTTGGTGTGACACCACGCAGTGATGCACTCCCAGCAGAAGAGGTGCCCACACGGTGTGGCTGTGGCATGTCGGCGTTCTTCTAAGCACAGCGAGCAACGCGAATTGCGGCTAAGGATCTTCTCTTCGGGTTGGCTTCTGAAGGAAATGACATTAGACACCATTATTCTACGGCGAGAAAGGCAATTCCAAAAAGAGATCTCTGCAAGAAGTAAGTTTTAGGAAACTACAAATCTCCCTCTGCACAGAATCTACAAACATGGTCATATATAAATATAGCCATTTCTTTGATCTACTTTTTTCCCCCTGGTCTTACAATATTATGTGCTTCGGTCATGTATTTTTACTACTTTAAAACTCAATATTCCATAGGCCAAAAGTCCAGGTTGTGCACTACGATAAAAAGCCTTATTAGAATAATACATTTTAAAGTAGAATTACCTACAAACCTATATTTCTGGGGTGTAGTTTTAAAGTCATTTTTAACTTGATACAGTAGAACCTCTGGTCGTGACCATAATTTGTTCCATAACTTTGGTCGTACACTGATTTGGTCATGACCCGAACCTAATTTTAAAAATTTGACGCTTCCAAAAAAAAGAAAAGAAAAGAAAAATGGTGCGGAAGGGAAAATTGGCTGTGAAAAAAAAAATTGTGAATTTTTTGGTCGGAACCCGATTTGGTCGTAGTCACAAACGTTCATGACCAGAGGTTCTACTGTACCGTTTAACTCCCAGGTGGGAGTTAATTTTAATTTAGTTAAAAGCTAAATTTCAAATGCTGGTGAGGTGCTACTTGTTGATATCAATTCTCTACATTCCCTGGACATTAAAAAAATAATAATAATCCAGACTTTATACATCTGATGGGAGAGGTTACGGTGTAGCTTCCACTCTTTTTGTGCCCTCTGCCGATGTTGGAGGTTGTACACGTAGATGCCAAGGGTCAGCCCCAGGTGCAGGAATGAAACGATTCCAAGCAGCCTGTAACTTGATCGAATGCTTCGGTCGTCTTCGGTGGAACCCACAGAGCGTAACTGGAGAGCAGAAAAATCAAGTAAAACCATCAGCGGAAGGTTAATTCATACTTAAATGCTTGAAGAAGGATTTTGTTACAGAAGGAGCTCCGTCCAAATGTTTTGTGTGTGAGAAAGGCTATCCTTTTTAAAATCACGAGCTGCCTGCAAATAGATTAATGTTTTGAGGCGTTGTGGAATGTCTCCCGATCAAGGAAATTTTTATTTTTTTATTTATTAGAATTTTGTCCCTTTATTTTTTAAATAGGCAGCAAACAGACCCTAATAGTAGAGAGTGTTGCGGTGGCCTTAGAGGGGGAGCTCTTGCCTCACAATCAGCAGGCTATGAGTTCAATCCTAGGTAGAGGCAGCTATTTCTCTCTGGGAACAATGAGAATATTATCTGCTGAACAAAACTCCTCATTGGCGACAGGGAAGGGCATCTGGCCATTTAGAACACTCTGCTGGCTCCATTCAGTTGCCCAGTCTCCACCCCGCAAGGAGTCATGAAATGAAGATGATGAAACATACCTAATACTCCTCCGTTCTCCTCCTCATTTCCATGCAACCATCACCCTTGTGAGGTGGGTTGAGGCAAAAGAGACTTTCCCAAAGTTACCTAGCTAGCTCTCGCCTGTAAAGCGCAACTAGAATTCACAGGTCTCCTAGTTTCTAGACCAGCACTACACCAAAGATTCCAGGAAAAAAACAACGATGGCACCCCTGACTAAGTTGATTCTCTACGTCTGTGACGGTGCCCAAATTGAGAAACTGAAGCACAGGGGAAGCCACTCACATAGGTGATCCCTGTTGTCCTTTTAGAGAAATGGTAGAAGATGCCCTTCATGTAAAAGACAGCTAAATGCAACCTCTGCAGCAATGGGATGCTTTGCTTGACGATATGAACCGCCCGAGCGAGGAACGTTCTCTGCCCCTCGGTTAATCGCCTGGCTCGTTTCTGCAACCAGCTTCGGAGGAGCGCCCGACTATGGAACACGCTCAGATTCCGGCTGTGCAGAATCTGTAACCCGCTGGAGGCCGCCTCGAGCTCCTGCTCCAACAGGGACAGTCCCTTGTCTAACAAGTAAGGCAAGACAGTGTGCAGAGCGACCAAAACGGCCCGGCGTCTCAACGAAGGGACCTTCCTCTTGGATGGGTCGACTTGGATGACATTGACGTATTCTTCACCAAGGGTTTGATATCCTGAAATGGGGGGGTGAAAAAAAAGGCAACCAATGACAGAAACTCCGAAGAGGTGATTACAAATGCAGCAGAAATAAACAGATGGAATCAATTACCTGAAAGGGTAGTAAGGGTGAAATAGGCGACGTCGGCGAGGAGTTCGATCTCTTTCTGCCATCCCAGCCAAATTTTAGCACCTAAGGAGCCAGAATATATGGAATTAAAGCACAAGAAAAAGCAACACTGTTCCATTTTTATCCGACCGACATTTGAAAGGGGAGTCAGGTGGCGTATTTCTATCATTAAAATGACTGCCACCATCCCTGCAGAAATATGTATGTATGACTGCATGTAAGAATGGAATGGGAATGGAATAGAATAGCATAGGGTCCCTTCCAGCTCTATTCTGATTGGACTAAATAGAGTAGAGTAGAGTAGAGTAGGAATGGGAAAGAATGGAATAGGATAGGATAGAATAGAATAGGAATAGGGAAGAATAGAATAGGAAAGAATAGAATAGAAAATATGGAATGGAATGGAATTCTTTATTGGCCAAGTGTGATTGGACACACAAGGAATTTAGTTTACTGTATTGTCATCACACCTCGTACAACAAAATTAAATACCATCTTCAGTGTACAATTTATAACTATGAAAATAAATACAAACACACACACACCCCAATTTGTCTTCAGTGCAGAAGCCGTCAGTGTACATAAAGAATAAAATAAAATACATTCATCAAGAATCATAAGAATATAAGTATAATTAAGCTTAGTGGGGCTTATGCAACTTTTCATTCAACTTTTCATTTGTTGTTATACAATTTTTTTATCCGTTGGCTGATAACAGGTAAATTATATAAGTAAAATATGGAGCCAAAATAATATAACAACAAATAATGGAGCCAGTTTGTTCTAAATGGTTAACTGGAAAACAGGAGGCTGCGAGTTCCAGTCCTGCCTTAGCCATGAAAGCCAGATTTTGGGCCAGTCACACACTCTCAACCCACCTCACAGGGCTGTTGTTGTGGGTAAGAAAAAGAAGGAAGGTATGTTTCGCCCCCTTGAATTACTTAAATAAAAATAAAGGGATATAAATAAATATGCATTTTAGGCGTTGCTGATGAATGGCAAAATGTGAAACTCGGCTTGCTTCTTCCTTCTCACACGAAGATCCTGAATTTTGTTTCTTAAGCCCGCCTGGCATTCTATTAAAATAGGTATAAATATGTATTTATTTCAATTTAAATTCGAATTTGAGGCAAAACGCCCAGAAAAGGCTTCGGGGAAGGAGAAAAGGCGGAGGCGCCTCACCCGCCAGGCCGGACAAGACGGCGCCGGCCCTGCTTTTCAGCGCTCCCCGGTAGAGCTCGTCCTTCTGGGCCGAGCGGACCAGGCGAGCCGGCCCGGCTTCCAGCGGCATCGCGAAATGAAAAAGCGGCCCGACGCCTCTTCGCTTCTGTCATCGTCGCTGAATTCAAACGTCATCCGCTGTCGGCGCGGCCCTTGACGTCAGAAACGGTTTTCCTTTGTAGAGTGACGAAAGTAGAGAGGTGCTCAGAGACATGACTTCCGGGTGTAGGAATCAATTTCATTCTATGAACAAAAGAATGTCGTTTTTAGCGTTCTTCTAATGCAAATCAACTGCAGAGCTTTCTATTAGAAAATTAATTGATTGGTTATGCCCCATCAAACCGGTGTCGACTTATCACGACCCCATAGATAGATGCATTCCGAAAGATGCCCGCTAAATTCGAATAATTGGGCCTCGCATTCAAATGACTTCAACCATTGCCCTCCGAAAGCTTTAAGCTATATAAAATCTTCAAATTATGCAGACCATTATACAAATCCCAGCGCGAAAACTCTGCGGTGGTAACAAAACAATATTCTCCGAGTGACCTCGGAATGTGATTATGTAAAGTCTCCTATCTATTGAATTTCGTACTTCTATGGTGCTGAGTGACGTAATCAGAACGCGCAGCCATCGCTTTAAAAAAAAAAGAGCGCCCTCTTCGGGGTAACTCGCGAAACGATTCCCTTAATAGCTTGGCCGCCGTGACCACCGCGAGGCGCCTGCGCACTCGGGCGGTCGCCTCATTGCCATGGCAACCTGAAAATTTCCCGCCAATTGAGAGCCTATGCGAGGCGAAGGAGGTGCGACTTTGGTCAATGTGAATGAAATAAAATTAGAAAGGAAGGAAATTTAAGAGCAACAAGGTGGTGAAGTTTCACCAGCACTGCAAAAATATATGCTGTCCTTTCCCCGCCAAATTCTTACTTATTGAAGTGTTTTATTTTAAGTGTTTATTCATTTAAGGCCTGCAAAAAAATGGCTGCCGAGGGGGCCCCCTGCCATTTCCCCCCCCCCTGTTTTGGGTAACTAGGAAGAGGCAGGTGGAAGCAGAAGGGCTTTTATCTCCTTTCCCTGGAGCTGGGCTTGTGGAAGGCTTTAAATTGGGTTAACTAACCCTGGTTAGTTGGAATGCAGGCTTGTTGATCGGTGCTTATCTGGGGTTTAGGGCCCCGGGAAGCCTGCAAAATGAGGTTAGTTGGGTCAGTTGGAGAGCCAGTTTGGCGTAAGGGCTAATTTAGGAATAGGGAGGCTTGGATTCGAGTTCAACCACGTCTATGGAAGGTCATAAAAAAGAGAATTTCCGTGGAGGTGCATTATTGCTCTCTGGAAGTTATGCTGACTTCATGGGGTCCTTTGTGGGGGCTAAAACCCCCATGGAAGCTACCTTGAGCTCAAATACTTATTTGTATTTCACGTTTTCCTGCCTTTATTACGTTATTATTTAATTATTAATTAATAATTATTGACTGATTAGGTCATGCAGGTAATCCTCGTTCGTTCAGTGACCGAAGTTACAACGGCACTCGAAAAAGTGACTTACGTATGAAAACTGGTCATGAGTCACTTTTTTCAGTGCCGCTATAACTTTGAAACGGTCTCTAAATGAACTGTTGTAAGTCGAGGACTTCCTGTACAAAATAGTTTACAGAAACCTATTATATTCCGCCCCCCCACCCCCCGCCCCCCCAAATTAATTGCACAACTGAGCACCTCTCGCCTTTTCACAATAATAATTAATTTGGGAAACATGCTTGCCTTTCTTTTTCCTCATCTCAGCATAATTAAGCCTACACAGTGATGGAACAGGAACACACAATCAGCAGCAGCAGGAGGAAGAAACAAACCCCAAAACAACAAAAGCACATCCTTGATTGCCCTGAGATACGAAGCAAGGTGAATGCCCGAGGAGCAACCTGTTTTATTCCAAATTTGGGGTAAGATTTCTGCTTGGTATTTTACGGAAAGCCCATGCCGGCTTGGAGATTGAATTTGGACATTTCTGGAGGATTTTGCCTTACCAGGTCTGAGGGCAAGAAGCTGGCAGTCACTAGATGGCAGCGAAGATTTTTAGAACCACATTCTTTGTTGCAGCCTATCCCCCATCTAGCATTTATGGCAAATAGAACATAGAGCAATAGGGTTGGAAGGGATCGTGGAGGTCTTCTAGTCCAACCCCTGCTCAAGCAGGAGACTCAATTAACCATTCCAGACAAATGGCTTTCCAATCTCTTCTGGAAAACATCCAGGGATGGAGCACCCACAATTTCTGGAGGCAAGCAGTTCCACAGATTATTCAGGAAACTTCTCTTTACTTACTAGACTAGATTTGGTTTGGGTCTTTAATGATTTTCCACCCATTACTTCTTGTCCTGCCTTTAGGTGCTTTGGAAACGAGGTTGACCCCACTCTACCTTGTGAGACAGTCCCTCAAATAGCAGAGACAGCTGTCGTGCCTCCCCAATCCTTCGCTTCATTAGACTAGACATACCTGAACTGTTCATCATAAAGTATAGCAGAAACATTGGATTCTTAGCTGACAACAATGCAGCATTTGAATGGGCTTCCAGATCCGCAAGTTGTATTCTTTCTACATTTATCCATAAATACATTAGATAACCAAGGGAATCTTAGGCATCCTTGACTTACAAGTAATCTTTGCCTTACAAATATTCTTTGAACAATCTTTCATCGTTAAACCCTGAAAAAAGTGACGAAGTGTCAGTCCTCACACTTACAACCATTGCAAGTCAACCATGGAAGTCAGATTTCTTGAATGGACAGAAATGACGGTCTGCAGAATTTCTGACTTTCTCCCTACCTGTCTCAGAAAGTTTACTATATTTGGGGGTAGGTTAGTTAATGCTGCGGGTTTCTTCCCAAGTCTGAATTAATTATCCTTCCCAGCTGATTCACACTTCGCCATTATGTTCTCCTCCTCCATTCTTCTACCTTTTTATTCAGCGAGAGCGAAAGGGGCGAAGGAGAAGAAAAAAAAAAGCAAGCTGTTAAATCACTCTCACATACGAGATGAGTAATTCGACCTCAGGAGGTTTGTGAAGCAATCCAGGGGAAGTTGCAGGAATCTGAAGGGCCCCGCTTAAGCGTTGAAAAGCTGCCCGCCTTAGCATTCCTGGCTGAAGGGCAAAATGGAACCGTACCAAGCGAAAAATCGTTTCAGGCCAGGTAGCCGAGGCCGGCTCGCTTCAGCTCCGTAAGACCTCCGAGTGCCTGTCCATAGAATTAGAATGCAAGGAACACTTGACAAAGGAGAAAAACCCCACCAGGCACAACTTGTTCCTGAAGCTGAGAAAAGAATAGACCAAATGACAGGACCGCTCTCGGTAAATAGACTTGCTAAGTGCTCTCAGGCTTTGGGTAGGATTCCTTTTATGTTTTAGGCTGCAGCCCTCAGCATGTTTATTAGATGGAAATTAAGTCCCAGTGAATGGAGTGGTGGTGGTTGTTTTTTTTTTACACCCCCCCTCCTCTCCTCTCTCATAAAATGCCAAAGGATTTTATTCAGCCTCACATAAAAGTGAGAAGTCCAACAGGGGATACAAGGCAAAGCGCTTGCATTGACAAAGCTCGTGTCACTGGGGGGGAAAAGGATTGCCAGATAATTAAACATGGAACAAGGTTGCTGGGAGGGTTTTCCATCAGGACCACAATGTGGCAGTTAGAATTTGCACTCAGGGGTGCTTCTGTGCTACCTTCTTAGAAACTCAGCACTTTATCCAGGGCAATTCAAGCCAGTGGCATCTCCTGCCAGCTCCTCATCCGACAGAGAGTTGAATAGAATAGAATAGAATAGAATAGAATAGAATAGAATAGAATAGTTGGAAGGGACTTTGGAGGTCTTCTAGTCCAACCCCCTGCTTAGGCAGGAAACCTTACACCACTCCAGACAAATGGTTATCCAACTTCTTTTTAAAAACTTCCAGTGTTGGAGCATTCACAACTTCTGGAGACAGGTTGTTCCACTGGTTAATTATTCTCACAGTCAGGAAATTTCTCCTTAATTCCAGGTTGCTTCTCTCCTTGGTTAGTTTCCACCCGTTGCTTCTTGTCCTGCCTTCAGGTGCTTTGGAGAATAGCTTGACTCCCTCTTCTTTGGGGCAGCCCCTGAGATATGGGAACACTGCTATCCTGTCACCCCTAGTTTTATACATACAGTAATGCTGTCAGACTTAATAAAGGCCTTTGCCAGCCTGTGGATGTACCATTTTCCCCTCAGACAACCCTTGTCTGAAATTTGTTCTATGTATACATTTTGGCATCCATCTGGAACTTGGGAAAAGAACAGTTTGTCACTGCCTGTGACTCACTGGCAAAAGTCACAAAAGAGGAAAATGATTGTTATGTCAGCAGCATAATCCGCAAATAGCCCTGTTCCTGACAAATTACCTTTCTCACACACACCTTAAACCCTTCGGTTCCGTGTGTCATGTGGAGAGCCGAATTCCAGAGTCCTGCTAGAGCGAAGCCACTAAATCAAAAATGTTGGTGATTTACTGGCTTTGGGTAAGCTCCCTTTTGACCTGATAGGAAGGGACACACCTGCCTTCCGGGAAAGTGATTTAAAAACCCTTCTCCCCCCCTCGATGTGATGTGAGGCCAGAAGGGCTCATTGAAACAATTAAAGGCCAGTCTCTCTCCATTATGGTCCCAGACTGGTGAAACTGGATATATTTGTGATATTGGAGGGGGAGCTAGAACTCACGCTGCCAGATAGGAGGTACCAAGTCTCTGTTCTGCTATCAAGTGATCAAGCAGCAGATTTAGCACTTCATCATCGTCTTCTTTCAACGGTCCCATAATCCTTTCCAGGGTAGAGTCTGGGCAACTGAATGGAGCTGAGTGTTTCCTGGCCGGATGCCCTTCCTGTCGCCAGTGTGGAGCTTTTGTTCAGCAAATATATTCTCATTGTGCCCTGCCTCTACTTAGGATTGAACTCACAGCCTCCTGATTTTGAGGTGAGAGCTCCACCTTTAGGCCACCACACCGCTCTCGGATTTAATGCTTCCTCTTTGTAAAAATAGCTTATTTTGAAACTCCAAAGCGGTGTTTCTTGACCTTGGCAACTTTTAAGGTGTGTGGACTTCAACTCCCAGAATTCCTCAGCCAGCA